ATATCACCCTGATTAGCCAATGGGAAGGGTAGCGGCCGTACGGCTAATTACCATGTTTCTCTTTTATTAGATAGGATGGTACATCTAAAAAAACAAGAAATTATAATAAAATAATTCTGAAATAAATAAACAAGATGACATGTTTTTGGTCTACACTAGCAATAACCATCTAGAACCAGAAATGGGGAAAATGTTGCATTCAGAATAATAAGAAAAATAATGTATAAGAAAACAAGACTCATAGATATGCTATCTACAAGACACCCACTTCAGATGGAAAGACACAAGCAGCCAAGCTGGTGTGTCTCAGTGGTTGTGAACCAGGAGGTCATGGTTCAATTCCCAGTCAGGGCACATGCCCAGGTTGTAGGCTCAATCCCCAGTAGTAGGGGGCATGTAGGAGGCAGCCAATCAATGTTCTATCTCATTGATGTTTCTATCTCTCTCTCCCTCTCCCTTCTCTGAAATCAACAAAAACATATTTAAAAAAAGAAAAACACACGCAGACTGAAAGTAAAGGGATAGAAAAACATATTACATGCAAATGGAAACAAACAACAAAAAAGGGTAACAATACTTATGTCAGACCAAATAGGCCATGGCACTGCCTGCCTGTGTACTCTCAGGCTGTTGTTTGCATCCGTGCCTTCAATCTGCCCCCTGACCCTCCCCATGACCACTGCCTGAGGTGCCATTTCTGTGCCTCTCCTGGCAATGCTTGTCCACTTGCTGCTCCCCAAGACTGCCAAGATGTCCTCTGCCATTCTGGCCTGCTGGCTCTCATTTCACTTCTCAGGCCTCCCTTGGGTTCCACTCTTCCAGAGGGTCCCACAGCATAGCTGCTTGAAAGCTGGTTGCTTTACATGCATTTTCTATCAAACAAATGAAATTCCCTGTTATCATGATCTGAACTATGACTCAGGACACCTACTGTCACTGAGTGGGAGAAAAATGCAAATCAGGTGGATGCATTCTGATGGAAGTTAGTCAGGCATTGGTGCCCAGAGAGGGCATACCTAGATCAGAAGGCAAGATGACAAGCCTGGGGAGAGAGCAGGGTGCAAAAAAGAGAGGCATGAACAGGAAAAACCCTGAAGAACTTCTCCAACTTCAGAATTTGGCTTTAAGGTGAGACTTGGACAAAAAAGTGAGACAAGCAGAAATGGGCTGCCTGCGGAGGCCAAGCAAGACTTCAGGAGTCTTTGGTACAAGGACTCTTGGTCATTCACCCTCCCCACCCTGAATCATTGTTTTCCACTTCAGGCCTGTTGCCAACTTGAGTTCAAGTCCCCAAACTGATGACTAAAGACATTAGTTTTGAGATAAAGAGATAAGGGAGGAGCTAGGTGGGAAGGCAGGTGAGATCATCATTGCCACCAGGGTAAAGACAGGGACCCTGATGACAGAAGCAGAGGGCTGAGTACTATGTGGATCCTTGGTAGCCTCTGAGATCATCCCCAGGGCAGAGTCCAGAAGATGGGGAGGGGCACCAATAGTTTTATTTGCTTCCAGAGTTGGCACTTCCGCCTAGCTGATCTTTGGTATAATATTAACTGCCATTTCAGCAGTGTTGGATGCCAGGGGCAGAAAGAACAAGGTATAGATGAGACAGGTATGACTTCTAGTTATGTATTTGGCTCAATAGACACTTATGTAGCATTGACTCCTTATGGCAAATACATTCTGAGAGTTTCACAGACATTAATCCACTTAATCCTCATCATACCCCTAAGGAAGTTAGTGCTATTATTACCCCATTTCATAGGGCAAGGAAACTGTGGGCTCACAGAAGGGAAGTGACTGGCGCAGTACCATGCAGCTAGTGAGTGGGAGTTAGGATTGAAACCCTGGCAGTCTGGCTCGTAGGCTCACTGATGAAGGCAGGGCTGTTTGTCCTAGACCAGTGATGGCGAACCTTTTGAGCTCGGCATGTCAGCATTTTGAAAAACCCTAACTTAACTCTGGTGCCATGTCAAATATAGAAATTTTTTTATCTTTGCAACCATAGTAAAACAAAGACTTATATTTTTGATATTTATTTTATATATTTAAATGCCATTTAACAAAGAAAAATCAACCAAAAAAATGAGTTCGCGTGTCACCTCTGACACGCGTGTCATAGGTTCGCCATCACTGTCCTAGACAGCTGTCTTCAGGGTTGTCTCACCCTGCCCTTTGTCACAACACTCCCTCCCCTCCCGCATGATTCCATCAAATTGACCTGCTTGCCCTTCAGGATAGCTATTATGATGCAGGTGGGAGGGAAGGGCCTTTGAGGGGGTGTTCCCCAACCTTCTGGTCTCCGGGAATAACTTTATTCTCAGTCGTGGCATGGTGGAGGCAAGCGGGTAGAGAAAAGATAGTAAGCGTGTCAGCAGGACCAGACCACACAGGGTTCTCGAAGTCCTTGTCCCCAGTCAATCCTCTGAGGTTGAGGGCTCTGCCTCAGCTTTTGTTCCTAGAGGTAGAGTTCACTGAATCTTCTCACTCATTTATTTTTTTTTTCATAGGTGAAGGTAGAGGGAGAGAGAGAAACATCAATGATGAGAGAGAATCATTGATTGGCTGCCTCCTGCACACTCCCTACTGGGGATTGAGCCCACAACCCTGGCATATGTCTTTGACCGGAATCGAACCTGGGACCTTTCAGTCCGCAGGTCAATGCTCTATCCACTGAGCAAAACTGGCTAGGGCCTTCTCACTTATTTAGACTCTCCTCCTTCAGAGAGTCCCAGGAAGACCCCCTTTCCCTCTTTAAGATGGTCTATTCTATTTTATTTGGATGGATTCTCTTAAAGCTGCCTTAAACTTGTGCATGTAAGCAGAGTATAAATACATTAAAAATAAAAGTGGGGCCCTCCAGGCTAGGTGAGCACCTGCTCATTGGGTCTGTTTGTCTCTCAGAAGTATTCCTTTCCATGCCCGGCTGACGTGGTTCAGTGGTTGAACTTCAACCCATGAACCAGAAGGTCACAGGTCAACTCCCGGGTTGCAGTATCGACCCCCAGTAGGGGACATGCAGGAGGCAGCCGATCAATGATTTTCATAATTGCTGTTTCTATCTCTCTCTTCCTCTCCATTCCTCTTTGAAATCAATAAAAATATATGTATTTTTTAAAAAAGAAGTATTCCTTCTGGGCTAAGGGTTCTAGAGGACATTTACTCGGAGCTGCTTTGGCACTGGTGCAGCAAGCTGTCAACTAATGCAGTGGCTGTGGAGACAAAGCTGGCCTCAGTTTCATCACTTCCATCATAGGGAGTCATGCTGGTTAGGATAACCAAAGTCATGATCCAGAAGCTATAGCAGAAACTCCATGTCCAGTTAACCAAATTTGTCTTCTGGGAACCCCCAAATTCCCTTCTCTCAGTCTTCTTTCCCCTTCAGTGGCATCCCCTAATCCAGTGGTTCCCAACCTTTATTTGGCCATGCCCCACCTAAGCATCTCTAAAATCCTGATCCCCCCCCCACCATGACATATAATTCTTATTATTCAAAAAGTGAACTCCTATTCAGGTGGTAGAAGCCTAAAAGACCATTAACTTGGTCTAAACAAGCTTCCAAAGAACATGGCATCCAGGAAAGAGAAAAATAAAAGAACGAAAGGGCAGTTGAAGTATTGAGGAAGAAATCACTAAAAAATTGCTTTAAAAAAATAATATGAAGTGATATGAAAAAATAGAAAATAAAGTTTCAAAACATATAATAGAGAACTGAAATGCATAAATATGTCACAATATATATACTTATACGCTGTCTATGAAGCGCCTAGAACCATAAGAAATGCAAAAAATTCACTGTTAATAGCTCATTCTCGAATAGCTCCCCTTAAAAATCAAATTGCCCCCCCTCCCCGCCGTGGAGTGTGTGCCCCACATTGGGAACCACTGCCCTAATCCCTCCAAACAGGACTTTGGGCCTTTCCCCTCTCAGGTGTGAATGGTATTAACAGTCCCAAGAGAAGGGCAGTCTTACCCTCTGCCAGTGACTGGCAGCACTTTTGCAAAGCGGGCTCTCTTAGGGGACTTACTGCAGCTCACAAAAGTAACTGTCCAGCTATAAACAACTTCCCTGAGGGGTGCAGTGGGGCTTCCCAGGTTCTAGGGAGAGAGATCACTGGCTTTTTCTGACACAGGCCACCTTAAAAAAGGAGGAAGAATAAACACCCATCTGGAAGAAAAAGTGGGATTGTAGCCAGAGCCTGGGGTGGGAAGCTAATGGGAAACAGCTTGCCGGAGGGAGGGGGACAGAATTCAGGAATGGCCAGAGGCTGGCTGCTGTAGATAAAGGGGGCTGGGAAAAGCAGGTTGATTGAGACTAGCTGCTGTTCCTCTGTCTTGATCTTTGGACTCTGCCCCGGGGCCGGCTCACACCTTATTCCAGGAGACTCATAGCAAGCAGAGGCTTCTCTGCCCACCCTGAGTCCTGGATCCTTCATAAACAACAGACCAGAAGGGGATTCTTCATCAACCAGCTGGACACCTCCATATCACCAGCCCCTGCCCTCTGGCTGCTCCTGCCCGGGAAAGGCCTGGAGGAAGAGGCCAGGAAAGGAAGAGACCTGCCCCTCTCCTCTGTCCTTCCATTGACCCAGCACCAGCATCTGGAGACTCCATGGCCTGGGCTTCCTGGGGCTGCTGCCCCTGGCTTGTCCTCCTCTCTGGTATGTGCATCCCGATCTCTCCATCCCCTCCCACGCCGGGCGGGCAGGTCCAGCTGGAGAGCAGCTCTGGCCTCCCCTTCTGGGTTCAGAAATGGTTGGAGTGAGGGCTGGGCCCGGTTGTCTCTTTTTCTCTTGGTCCCCCTCTGTCTTGAGGAAGAACACCAGGGCCAGTTCTTGAGACCCTCAAGACTCAGGTCTAGTCTGGTTTGACACCTTTCCATTCCCACCTGTTAAAGGGAAAAAATGATTCTGGCACTTTTTTTTAAAGTAAGGAAGAGCCCTGGCCTGTGTGGCTCAGTTGGTTGTGGAGTGTCATCCTGTACACCAGAAGGTTGTGGGTTTGATTCCCGGTCAAGGCATATGCCCAGATTGTGGGTTGTATCCTTGGTCGGGGCACATGTGGGAGGTGACCAATCAATGTTCCATCTATCTATCTATCTATCTATCTATCTATCTATCTATCTATCTATCTAATCTCCCTTCCCCTCTCAATTAAAAACAAAAGTAAGGAAGATTTTATTCAAGAATATTGCAATAGGGACACTGCAATAGAGGAGAAAGATCAGGCTTAACTCTGAATACAACAAAGATGGCCAAAGATCAGAGAAAGGAGGTCAGTGGATGGGAAATTCCTAAGAGGAGAGAGACATCAAGGGTAGGGAGATTCTTTTTTTAAAAAAATATTTTCATTGATTTCAGAGAAGAAGGGAGAAGAGAGAGATAGAAACATCAATGATGAGCAAGAATCATTGATCGGCTGCCTTCTGCATGCTCCACACTGGGGATCGAGCCCATAACATGGGCATGTGCCCTGACCAGGAATTGAACTGTGACCTCTTGGTTCATAGGTCGATGCTCAACCACTGAGCCATGCTGGCTAGGCAAGGGTATGGAGATTCTTGCTAAATCCACTTAATAGGATACTTGTGGAAGGCAGGCCATGGTGATCAGATACCAAGGGTGGGAGTGAGGAATTTGATCAGATATCAAGAGGTAGTTAGATATTAAGGGTGAGGGAGTCTCTCTAAACTCACTTAGGAATATTCTTTCTAAGACTGGGAGATTCAAGACCATCAAGGACAGGATGGGCATGGCAGGCCAAAGTCAAGGCCTAATCGTGAAGAGGGCTTGGAGGAGCATAACTAAAGCTTGGTCTTTGTCACCCTTTATTTGTCCTCTTTGGTCACAACGAACTGCCCATCTCAGCATCCTCCATATCCACTCCACTTCCAGCTTTAGAGAGGCCTTCCTTCCCTTTGCTCTCTGTCAATAAGACTTTGCTCATTCATTCAGTGCCCAGTTCCTGAGTACCTCTCCAGAGCCAGGACCACAGAATGATTTGGCTGCAGAGCCTACCCTTGGGAGCCATAGCCTGGGCCTCAGAGAACAGGACATAGGTTGGCTGAGTCTTACTTTTTATGTTGGCATCTTAGCACCACCATTTTGTCATAGATCTGCTCCTGCAGAAATGAGGATTCATTTTCTTAAATCAATAAGATTTAATCTCCCTCTTGAGTTTATAAGACCAAGACAACCAGGCAGAGCATTCATGATGTTAAACCCCAGTCACCTTCCTTCTAGCTATAGCTCAACCCACTCAGAAAGTAAAAGTACAGTGGGAGCGTCCATACTCAGGCCCCCATTATCCTCTGAGGAGATCTTTCTCAAAAGGCGAGGTGCTATCCCAGCCAGTGTGGCTCTGTGGTTGAGCATCGACCTATGAACCAGAAGGTCATGGTTCCATTCCCAGTCAGGGCACATGCCCAGGTTGCGGGCTCAATCCCCAGTAGGGGGCGTGCAGGAGGCAGCCGATCAGTGATTCTCTCTCATTGATGTTTCTATCTCTCTCTCCCTCTCCCTTCCTCTCTGAAATCAATGAAAATATTTTTTAAAAGGTGAGGTGCTAGAGGGACAGACTATCAGAGACCACTGGACTTTTAGGGCCCAGAGCCTGTAGGATTTAGCCCAGCACCTGGCATACAGGAGGCACTTAGGAAATGTTCACTCTGAATACTTGGCAATCCTACTTGGATCACACTAAATTTGGGGCACAGCCCAAGTTGGAAACTAAGTCTCCATGCACTCTGTCCCTTCTGTGGCACTATTCTTCCATGGTTGGATTTTTGTACTCCAATGGCCCAGATTCAAACCACTGACCTACCACTGACTTACTGTGGCAAAACTTGGGCAAGTTACTAAACCGACCTGGGCCTCAGCTTCCTCCTCTATAGCAAGTAAACAATAATACTCACCTCACAGAATTGCTACAGGTATCAAATGATATGCTATAAATAAATTGTTGACTTCAGTGTCTGGCACAAAGTAGGAGCTCTTTCATGCTAACCCACCTTTTCCCACCAGGTGATGATGTCAGACTGAGTGAAATTGCCTGTCTTACATACTTCAAACTAGCCTGGAATGATAGGCAGAGATTTGGATTATATGAAATGATACAAGTGGGCCTTGAGTTTAAGTAAACCCAATGTATATGAAATTAGATTTATAGAAGGGTAAAAAGAAGGTAGGGTGATTATTTAGTGAGATCCTTTAGAGCATTTCAAAGAAAATTTGATTACAAAAATTTAATTTACACACAACTTTTCCAGTTCAGTAGACCCTGAAGAGACCCAATTAGATTAGAAGGAAAAATTTGATTTAATGAGCACTAAAACCTTTCCCAGAGTGGCAATCACTTGTCAATGGATCAGGTTTCTTTTATTGTGACCCAGGTTGCCAACCAATTCATTCTGATTTCTTAGAAATGTGATTATTTTTATCCTCAAAGAGAGTTGGACAGCATCGTGTGTTTTCAAATGATAGAGGGTTGCAGGGACAGGAAGGAGGGTTGGGAGAACATGTCCCTGTGCTCTCTCGAAATTATCTGATCACCAAGTGACCCTGGATTTTTCTCTTGTTTTCTAGTTTGTGCCTGGGGCCATGCAAAGCCAGTGGACCTGAGAAGAGAGAACGTGAGAAACTGTTCAACGAACCCTCATGTGAGGCCCTGGCTTAGCCCACCCAACAGGTCCCATTGTCCTCCCCATCCCACATTGGCTCAGTTGCTAGCCTCTCCCTCTACCAGACTGTCTTCTGATTTCTGGACTTTGGGGCCACTGTTTCTGATTAACATCCCTCAGGAAGGGCAGCACATTGTCAGGTGTCTGATATTCACCCCTCATCCTTCCCTCCCACCCATTCCTACAGGCTTGGACCTGAACAGCCCTACCAGAGGGAGGGATAAGGGGAAAGAAAGTGGATAGGAGACCTGCAGCTAACCTTTGATTGAGTCTACGCAGAGGCCAAGAGGAAGCTGGGAGGACAGAAAAGAATTCTAGAGGAACAGCAAAAGGGAAGGCAAAGAAGGGAGGAAGGAAGAAGACAGAAGGTTAGAAGAGACATGGAAGAGCAAGAGAGGGGGGCCTAGGTTGTGAAGACTTAGAGAAGGCCCAATAGAGTAGAGCAGAAAAATCATCAGCTTCTTGGCTGGACACCAAAGTGATTCTTTCCAAAACCAAAATAGGTAAAGGCACTTCCCCAGGCAGGGGTAGGCGAAAAGGTGAGAGCTGGTGGGCCTGCCAGTATCTGCTAAGTCTCAGGAGTACATCTGCTTGCATTGTCAACTTTATGAGACCACTGGCGCTGACAGGTGGGTGGGCCAGCCACATTACTGTTCCTTAAAAGCAAACATGGATATATTGTGGAGTAGAATGCAAAACAAACCAAAATAAACAAATAAAAAACCCACACTTTATTTTAAAGATAAAGCAGCCTTTAAAAACTGTCTTGACTTGGAGGGGATCTTTCTGGACAATGTCCCAAACTCCTGGGGTTACTCATTCATTCTCCTTTGCCATTTGAAACTAGTGAATGGAAACTTGAAAAAGTCCCTGAGGTAGGGTTGCCAGATGAAATACAGAATGCCAAGTTATATTTGAATTTAAGATAATGCATAATATTTTACATAAGTATGCCCTAAATAGTGCAAGGGACATACTTACACTAAAACATTATTTGTTTATCTGCAATTCAAATGTGACTGAATTGGCATCCTGTATTTACATTTGTTAAATTGGTAGTGCTACCTCTAAGATATCCAAAGAGAGACTGTCCCCTGCAACTTCACTCACAATCCTAGACTAAGGTCCCATTATTGTCACAAAGGGTCCCTCTCCAAGCTCTTCAACACCCCCCTCTCTGCTCAGCCCATGCACCTTAATCTAGACTAACCCATAACATCAGTTGCTGCCCCATCCCTCTCCAGGCCAGCCCAGCCTACCCACCCTACCAGCCCCGAAGCCCTGCCTAAGAAGATGATGGGGGCCCAGGCATCATTTTCTCTAAACAATATGTGTCTCTGTGTGTGTCTTGGTGTCTTTCTGTCCCGTGACAGTACCTTCCAGTTACTGTGGTCAATACCACGGTGCAGCTCACAGACCTTCGCCAGCAGATGCAAACCCAGAATCTCTCTGCCTACATCATCCCAAACACGGATGCCCACATGGTAAGGGATGGCCCCCACACCCCATCCTTGCCTTTTCTGCTACCCCAGGTCAGCTTATGAGAACAGGCCACAAACAGGAGATTGTTATGACTCAGAAGATGTAGACAGAGGAAGGATTTGACAGGCAAAGGAAGAAAATGGGGAGCTTGGACATGGGAGTTTAAGGAGCTGAAAGAATGCAATCCTATACATAGGAGAGAAGACACTGCCAAATCTTGACCTCAGGCAATGAAACTATAAATAACTTCAGAATGGATTTTGATCACTTCCTAGATGACAGGTCCACAATGAATGTTTAGGAGGATAGGATGTAGTCTTGGAACAGGACTGGAAGAATGCTAAGCTCCCTTCCTGCTCAGCCCTTTTCATAACCTAATGGACGGAGCACTGAAATCATCCAGAGCCCTGGACTACACAAGTTCGGGGTGCATGTAGGCTAGGGGAGGGGGAGCAGACAGGAAACAATATAGTCTAAAGAAGAACTGCTTTTCCCAAAGAAGAGCCCTGCCCACCCTTTCCCACTACTGTTTCCCCCCTTCACCCCATCCACCTTTCCAGCACAAACCCATTTGGAAGAGGAGGAATTTTAGTGTCAATAAGATTACTTGAATTAGTTTGCCTACCTGCTGGGAAAGACTAAGAACCTTGGCTAAGTGTCTGAACTTCTGAGCCTTAATTTCCTCTTCTGCAAGATAGGAATAATGAACTCTGTGTCTGAGGATTACGAGGATCAAAATACTATAATGTATAAAGCTCTCTGCAGAAATGATTTATGATGGACTCAGTGTACTATGCTAGACTGGGGAATAAGGTGACAGCTGGAGGGAAGAACCCAGAAGAACCAAAAGACATGATCCCAGACTGCACAGAATTTGCATTCTGTCCAGGGATTCATGACTCCTTTGCAGAACATTCTAGTATTAGATTGTGAGGCTTAGACTCTAAGAGATATAGTTGTTCAAGGGAAGAGATCCTAAGAGCTAGGGGGAATTCCAGAGTGCTTCCTGGAAGAGGTGCCCAGTATGCCTGGCTTTTAGGACTGGATCAATCTGACCAAAAAGAACTGGGATGTGGTTGGGAGCCTTTCGTGTGAGGTCTGACTTCATGAGGAAGGCTAACGATAATGTTGATTTCCTAGAGTGAGTACATTGGCGAACATGACAAGAGGCTTACATGGATGACAGGCTTTACAGGGTCTTCAGGTAACAACTATTACCCTGCCCTCATTGCTTCTATTGGTCGTCTCAGAGGTGGTCACAGGTACCCTGGTGTGGCTAGCTCTCTGCACCCAAGACCCCAGGACGTGGTGTCCAGAAGCTCCTTACTACTCTGCCTCCCCTCCACCACTCCAAAAAGGGTCACCAGGGCAGATGTCCCATCAGGTTCCCCAGGGCACACATCTCATAGTCCACCAGCCACACTTCTGCATGAGGCAGAGAGCCCTCCTGGCTTCCATCCAGTGCTCATTGCCTCTGCCACAGCCAGGCCCAGCCTAGCACTACCTGAGCTCCTTTTCTGGGACAGTCCCTACTCCTATGTCTAGCCACTAGGAACCTGCTGATTCCCTTGGGTCACTTGGGAACAAAATATTGCTTTGCTGGTCCTTTTAGGGAAAACATCACTTCACATGGCCAAATGAGGCACAAATGTAGAGGCCTTATATGAGGTCCCAGTTTTTAAAGGGGCCTCCCACCCTGATCCTGGCCCCTTGAATGAAATCCAAGCTTCTCTTGCTGATTATTGCACATGCACTAATAAAACCACATCCTTCACTTTCACCTTCACCTCCAAGTTTCTTTGTTCTGCCCCAGGAACGGCAGTGGTGACCATGGGGAAAGCAGGTCTCTGGACTGACAGTCGCTACTGGACCCAGGCTGAGCAAGAGATGGACTGCAATTGGGAGCTCCATAAGGAAGGTAAAGGGGCTGCATGGATTTGTTCCCTAAGTCCTGGAACCCAGGCTACGGTAAGTTCCGGGATGTACTAGGTGAGGGGGTACATTCAAGGCCAAGTTCGGTCCCTATGGAAAGCTGGGGAAATTCGAGGCCATTCTTAAACTTTGAGACTGCTATCAAGGAGGACACACATGGCAGCACTATCACGGGCAGAAGCCTGGTTAGAGGGTCTGGGGCTGGCCCTGGAGGTGACCTCTGTTCCTTCCTGTCTTCCTCTAAGTTGGCAGTACTCCCATTGTCAACTGGCTCCTCAATGAGATTCCTGCAGGAGGGCGTGTGGGCTTTGACCCCCTCCTCTTCTCCATTGGTAAGTTCTTCCTTCAGTCCCTGTATTTGTCTACTACACCAATGAGGATGACTCAGCTTCCCTGGGATGTAAAGAAGCATAGTTTTGGTAGAAGGAGGGGCAGGGAGACTAAAGACATAGTGTTTGAACTTGTGCTTGCAGAATATTTTGCAACAAGAATGTATTCATGAATTTTGTAATGAAAATATATTTAAAAGAATGAATACAGACTTTTTAAAGTCATGAGGGCAGAGACCCAATCTAGAAGACTCAGTGAACTATTAAGATCTAGCAGATGAATAGTCTAAGATGTCTTTGAACCCAGAACAATCCTCTGGGACCTGGAACTCTACCAATTAGGGCACTAGAATCACTTACTTGGTAGCCCTCTTCTGGAAGGCAGCTTGGAAGGGTCAAAGGAGTTGAGAGGGCTTCTGAGTAAAGAAGCACAGTCTTCCCTCACCCCAGGAATGCAGCTCCCTGGGTTCTGGGGCCCCAACTGACTGGCCAGACTGACCCCAAGGATAGAGACCTCGTGAATATGTACTAAAGGCTCACACTTCAGAAATGGCTTCTTTGACAGCCTTTCCAATGGCCTAAACATTATCATTCCTTTGGGTTATGACATTGAAGCTCAGTCAAAATGAATAGTACCAAAAGAGGGCCCCACATCCATTGGTACTTAATAAGATGAGCTGAGCCAATTGGCTATGGAAAGTATTGGGGTGGGCTCAGGGAAATTAGTCTTTGAAAGTGGAAAGAAGAAGGTGAGAAGACAGGACTCAGGAGGGCCAGGCTGCTTGGACAGGCTCTGGGCAGCTAGGGCTACAGGAGCAGAACAGGAGACAGACTGGATAAAGACTAATTGTGCCTGAGTCAGTGGGCAGGGGACAAGTGACTCCTTCCTGTCTCTGCAGGCACCTGGAAGAGTTATGACACGGCCCTCCAAGGCTCTGACAGAGAGCTGGTGTCAATCACAACCAACCTTGTGGACCTGGTGTGGGGTTCAAAGAGGCCTCCAGTTCCAAGCCAGCCCATTTATGTCCTGCAGGAGGCATTCACAGGTGAATCCCCAAGCCAGCTCTCCTTCCCAACATGTAGCAACACAGGCCCCTGCTGCTGCTGCTACTTTGGCTGAAAAAAAAATTGACCTGAGAGGTACCAAAGCAATGGTTCTCAAAACTTCATGTCCACTCCAATTGCCTGGGGTGTTTGTTTAAAATGCAGATTTCTGAACCCTCTCAAACGTGACTCAGAATCAAAAGGTCCCCAGATCATATTTAGAAAATGCTGGAATAAAGAGTGTTAGTATTTGAAGCAATAGGAAGCAGGAAGAGAGAAAACAAGGGAGTCAGAGAAAGATGAAAAATAGCACACCCTTTTGAAGAGAGAAAAGACACAATATGAGTTGCTGATGTGGTATTGGAGACAACTCCCATTGACTCATTCAAACCTTGACTTCCAGCGCTCTTATGATGAGGAATTTAGATTTAAGGTCGCTGGAGTTGGGTGGGCCAGGGTGGACAAAGGCAGTAAATAAGCTCGGGGTCAGTGTGTGGCACAGATTAGGATTCAAGTGTCAGCCGGACTACAAAGCAAAGTTAAGTGACCCCAAAAACTCTAACATCAATAACCTTAACCCTGCTGACACCATCTAAATACGTCATAAAAAAACAGTATGCTCTATGATTCTTATAAGTAGTAACTAAAATCCTGGCAGGATCAGGCTACTTACTGACTATGAATCAGTCTTGGCCACCACCACTATTCTACCTTCCCAGGAATTCTGAACGGGCCAATGGACTTGGATTCCTAGGAATATTGGGCAATCTGAGAGGCCCCTTTTCACTTGCAGGTCCGTGCACATTTGTTGTTTGGAGAGGAGACAAAAAAGCAGGAGGGGAATTTCAAAATAGCAGCTCTGATGAAACAAGTTAAAATTGTGTCCAATTTTCTTTATTCATTCTGATGTAATTTATAGAATCATTCTTTCTGCATCTTGGCAGGTTTTAAAGAAACTTGATATCCAAGGCTGTTCCATCAAACATAAAACTTATCTGGTTCAGATAAAGAAGGGCACGGTTATGTCGGGAAGGGGAGGGGATAAAGAGGAAAACCTCCCAGAAACTGGGAGACAATTTGCATGAGTTTTGTCACGTCCCACAAGTGAGGGGAAACCGAGCCATCGCTGGCTACTTGTCTCAAGAATAGCCATCAGGCGCCAGAACTGGGCCTGGAAGCCCGAATATTAAGTTCTTGAGTCTCTAAGGTTATAGAGATGAGAGATTGTTTCTCCAGCAACTCATGGGTTTTGAAGGGCCAAGGGAGCAAAGGAGAGAACTTGAAAAGTTAGTTACTCAAAAGATACCTGTATGTACCAGATTATTTTTGGTTTTGTTTTTGTTAATCCTCACCCAAGGATATTTTTCCATTGATTTTTAGAAAGAGTGGAAGGGAGAGGGAGAGACAGAGAGAAACATCAATGTGAGAGAGACAGATTGGTTGGTTGCCTCCTGCACGCACCCCGACCAGAGCTGGGGAACCTACAACCAAGGTATGTGCCCTTGACTGGAATCGAACCCGGGTCCCTCCAGTCCTTGGGCTGACACTCTATCCACTGAGCCAAATCGGCTAGGGCTGTATTGGACAATTTAAATTTGCTTTCATTATTTGTCTCAAAAATTATCACATTCATAAACCTTGAAAGCATAATTCTAGGTGAAAGAAGCCAGTCAAAGAAGGCCCCATATTGTATGGTTCCATTTGTATGAAATATCCAGCAGAGGCAAATCCATCGGGACAGAAAGCAGAGTAGTGCTTTCCACAGGCTGAAAGAAGGTGGAATAGGGAGAGACTGCATAAGGGCTGCAGGGTTTCCTTTGGGGATGATGAAAATGTTCTGGAATTAGATAGTGGTGGTGGTTGCACAATCTTGTGATTGTTCTTAAAGCCACTGAATTGTACACTTTAAAACTGTTATAATGATACATTTTGTGGTATGTGTATTTTACCACAGTAAAATAAAATAAACCTTAAAAAGTATCATACCCAAGTGGGGGAAAACTAAAAGAAAAAAAAAGTGTGATACCCAAAGCTTTGATTCTTGTTGAATTGTTTTAGCTGTTTGCATACAGTTTTTTTTAATGGCATTCAGTTATTTATGCTAATCTCTGAGCCCAGCTAGGACCCTATTAAGGGGTTATGACCTGCGGGTAAATTCCTAGCCCTGTGTAGAGGTAGGTTCTTTATAGGGAGCAGGAATAAAAGATAAAAACTAAAGTCCTAAGACCAGGATACAGCATCCCAGAAAGGACAGCTCTGTGACACTGAATTTAAGGACAGGTTTGGAAACTGACAATGTTAGCAAGATAGTCCAGGGTCTGTACAGATTAAGAGTGTGAGCCATATAGTCAAACCAACTGGGTTCAAATCTCAGCTCCACCCCTTGCCAGCTATGAGACCCTAGATAAGTCACTTTGCCTCCTCTAAGACTCTGTAAAATGGGCCAAGTAAGAATTAAAACAATGTATACGAAGTGCTTAGACCAGATCTATGGTGTATTAAGCACCAGGGTTACTGCAGGGAAGAGACTTAAATATGGCCCAGTCCTATTCTTTTGCCCTTCAACTAGGGCTGCTCTCCTGCTCTCTGTTCTGCATGCATATTTACTGATCAGAAAGTTGTATCTGACTCACTATACCCCAGTACACCATTCTATGGGCATTACAAATATGTATTCAGGGTAAAGGGAGATAAATGGTGACAGAAGGAGACTTGATTTGGGGTGGTGAACACACAATACAATATACACTTGGAACCCGTATAATTTTACTAACAAATGTCATCACAATAAATCCAATAAAATTTTTAAATACAGGGAATCCCCAAAAATGTATACACACTTTAGCAGCTGATAGCTCAATTTTGAAAATGAAATGTATTTTAATAAACACTGCCTTTGTAATTATTCAATGTGTGTGTACACATTTTGGGGGGACACCCTATATATGAATTCATTTGATCCCCATAACCATCCTAATGATACTATCATTATGATCTGTTCTCATTTTACACATGTGCAAAATATAACTAATTTGCCCAAGGTCACCCAGCTAGAAATGGCAGAGCTAGGATTTAAACCCAGATAGCGTGGGTCCAGAGCCCATATCCCTAAGGACTGCAAGAGTAGAAGTTTATTTAAAGAAAGAGTTCCATTGCTTTTAGAGAAATGAAAAACTATTGCCCTAAGGGAGCCCCCTCAGAGAGTGTCAAAGAGAAGGTATGTTACTCATGCTTTCTTTGGGCTCCTTTGCTTCTAGGGAGCACCTGGCAGGAGAAAGTATCTAACATCCGCAGCCAGATGCAGAAGCATCGCAAGGCCCCGACTGCTGTGCTTCTGTCAATGCTTGATGAGACAGCCTGTGAGTACACATGTGGGAGACTGGCTTCCTCCAACCCCCAAGCCTCCTGGACCCTGCAGCGTAGGACTCCTCCCCCAGCCACCAGGTGCCCACCACTCCTGTGGCCATGGCCTATGGGAACTAAGGGGAGAGGGAAGGAGATCATATCTGCTGAATAAAGCAACAAGGAAGCCCAGGGCAATCTGGGGCCAGCCCCCAGGCCACTGGAGGAATGGCCTGACCACAACAGCAAAGGTTTCTGTCTCATGAAGGGGAAGAGGCTCAGAAAACACCTCCCAGCAGCCCAGCCCCCATCCCATGGCACTCACACATCCAGCTTTAGCACCCAGTGAAGCTCTGTTCTGTCCCTGTGTGGCCCAAGGGCTTCTTACCTGACCCCAGCTCTACGCTTCAGATAATCTGGGAACCCCCTGAAACTGTGTGCTTACTGCTGACTGGGCATCTGCATTTTTCTGAGAGAAGGGTCCATACTCTCATCCCGGCCTCAAAGACACCCCTACCCCCAAAGACTGAGAAATATGCAAAGGTAGATGAAGCAGGGGTGCTGCTGGCAATCTTTGGGGTGCCAAAGCAAATAGTGTGGCATAGGCGTCAAATGTGCTGGCTTCAAGCAGTTCAGCCTCATACATAGTCCCTTCCTCCTCCCCAGGGCTCTTCAACCTGCGCAGTAGTGACATCCCTTATAACCCCTTCTTCTATTCCTACACGCTGCTCACGGACTCGTCCATCAGGTATGGCTTTTCTTTGCCTTGCCCTTTACCCTGCCACCGTATGCAGCCTTCCCATGAGCTTGGAGTTTTTCCTACCCCTTTGACCGCTGTTCCCACCTATTCCAAATCTGGTCTGCTCCCGCTCCCTGGCCTCCAGCAACAAAGGGCCTCAGGCCCTTTGCGTTGTCCTTAAATATTCTCAGGACTTTCCTGATCTTGCCTTCCTACTCAGGTTATTTGTAAACAAGAGTCGCTTTAACTCCGAGACCCTGCAGTATCTGAACTCCAGCTGCACAGGACCCATGTGTGTGCAACTTGAAGATTATAGCCAAGTCTATGACAGCGTCCAAGCCTACGCCTCAGGAGCTGTGAGGATCTGGATTGGGACCAGCAATACTATGTATGCGTTTTACAACGTGATACCCCAGGTGGGTTTGCCAGGCCCCAGCCTGGGCCAGACACTGCCCCACTCCAGCCCTGAGAAGCCCCTCAGCCATTCTGGCAGTTGGTCAGTCAGAAATGGTGCAGTGAGCCCCTTTCTAGGCCTCCCTGGGAAGAGAAGGAAAAGAAGAACCAGTTGTCTGTCCACAGAAAACTCAGAGATTGTCAAGGAGGCTAGAGGGAGTACAGCTTGGTAGAGCAGAGGCTTTGAGGATGCCAAGCCTGAGACTGAGTCCTGGCTTTGCCCCAACTGGTTGTGCAATGACCTTGGACAACTGACTTATCCAAGCTGGACCTCTGTTCCCTCACCTGTTAAATGGCAATAAGAGTTCCAACCTCAGAGGGGTTGCTCTGAGGAGCTATAGAGGAAATAGTGCATGTAAAACACAGTGCCTGGCACACAGTAGGTGCTCAATAAGTGATATATGTTGGGGTATGATGGGCAGGAAACTCACTGTCAGAACAGCCCATTGACTGGTGGGGGCCAGCCTCTGATCTGTCCCAGAGTGCTGGTGGGATCCAGAGACAGGGAGTGATAGAAGGGCAGGAAGGAGGGAAGGTTAAGCTGGCCATGGAAGACTAGGAAAGACCTAAATAGCCAGAAAGGACACAAGGAAAAGTCATTGCCACCATAGGGATAGGCAAGTCTCCCTTCAGCCAGGATTTCTTGTCAATCCATTTCAAACATACTGTCCCTTGCAAAAGGTTCTCAGACCTCTTCTTCTCTGCACATGACAGGATAAAATCATAGCAGAAACCTACTCCCCAGTGATGGTAACCAAGGCGGTGAAAAACAGCAAGGAGCAGACTCTCCTCAAGGCCAGCCACGTAAGTCCATGGGCAGGCAGAACAGCCTTTTTGAAGCTCCCGATCTGAGGGGTTACAAAGGGGACCCTGCAGGAGGAGCCTAAAGAAGCCCCTTCAATGAAACAGAAGTGGACACAGAATTCCTAGGCATAAACCAGTGCTTTACTACCTTACTCCTGGCATGGTATAGTGGTTTAGAACACAGGCCCTGGAGCTAAGGTATCAGAGTTCAAACCCCAGCTCACCTCCTAGATGGGTGACCTTGGGCAAGTGGCTTCACCTCTCTGGGCCTCAGTTACATCATCTGTAAAGTAAGGATTAAAATAGTAATCTGCAGCATAGGGTTGTTTTGAAGATTAAATAAATATATTATACTATATATGATATATGTGTACATAAAACTCATATATTATCTACACTAATAAAAGAAAAACATGCAAATTGACCGTACCTTTGCTACGCCTTAAACCACGCCCACCAGCCAATCTGAGCAACTATATGCAAATTAACCCAACCAAGATGGTGGCCCACAGCCGCGGAGCTGGAGCAAGCAGGAGGCTTGGTTGCCCCAGTGATGGAGGAAGCCAAGCTTCCCGCCCCGCCCTGGCTGGCTCTGAGCTCCACTCAAGGCTACAAAGTTTCAATTATAGAAGGTAAATAAATCCCAGAATAAAAAAAAAGAAAGAAAGGAGAGGCTGGGAACTTCTGTCGCCGGGGGGCTAGGCCAGCCTGAAAATAACCCTCAGCCCCTCGCCCAGACTGGCCAGGCACCCAAGGGGGACCCCCAACCCTAAAGGGGGTGTGGCCAGCCTGAAAACAGCCATCAGCCCCTCACCCAGGCTGGCCAAACCTCCATGGGGTGAGGGTCCCCACTGGGGGAGGGGCTTCACCAGCCTGCAAACAGCCATCAGCCTCTCACCCAGGCTGGCCAGGCACCCCAG